AGAATAAATAAGGACTGAGTTGCAAAACAAATACAAGAAGGAAAAGTGAATGGGTTGAAAGAAATGGGAAGGCCAAGAAAGTTGTGGTTGGATGGAATTGGTGAGATCCAAAAGAAGAAAAAAGAGTTTACGGGATAAAACACCACATCGAATTGATGTACGAGTTTGATGGAAATGAGAATAGCTTCAAGAGCCGAAGGATTTCTTGTTGATATAGATTAGCTTTCCTTTTTTCTCTTATCCCACCAATGATCAAATATCTAATAATTCTTTATCTTCTCATTATTTAAGTTGGCCATATTTATCCATGTATTCTCTGTCTGTCCTTTTCCTTATAGCAGCAAATCCCCCACGGTGCCAGATTTCCTTAAATTCAACCCAGCATGAGAATTGAAATCAACCACATTTCATGGACACAAAATTGGAAAAGGCTGCCCAAGATCATTTGGTTCAAGAGTGATTTTTCAGAGGAGTAAGATTAACTGAAAATCTTGTTAAATAATACACATTTTAAATAGTACTTTCTTTGCTCTCAACAAAACTCTTCTTTCAGAAACAGGGAAAATGTTTAAAAAACCCATATTTGTGTAAAAGAATACACTCTTTTCTAAATAGCAGAAGCAGTACAATGTCTGCTTGATTAATGAACTTTACATTGAAATGTGTTTCTGGAGCAATTTGTTGCTCTCTGTTAAGAATCTTGTAGGGTTGAACAATGTATGGTTCTGTGTCCACCACTTTGATTTTTTTTAGATGAGTAACATCCTAGCAAGAGGAAATGAAAATTATGTCAGTTATAGAATGCAAGTGTTCTCTGACCTTCCTATTGTATAGGTCCCACCGTTCCCAGCTCCCAAGTTAGTGAGTACAGGATCAAAATCCTGGTTTCTAAAAATACAAGGACTCAAGAAAGAACAACCATTTCACAATGGAAAAGAAACCGATTTTGTAGTTGCAGAAGAAAGAACTACCTACTGTCACATAAAGTCATGAACAGAGATCAAATGAAGGGACTTACCTGGTAGCCAAACTGATTGCAAGGAAAACCCAGCACAACCAGCCGTCGAGGGTATTTGCTCTGCAGCTGATTCATCTGGGTGTAATCCCTCACTGTGGTGGCTCAAAAAGATGCCACATTCTCTATCAAAACCACTCTCCCCCTGAAATGGTTGAAATCCACTTTCTCCCCTTGGAGATCAGTGGCACTGAGGTCATAGAAAGATTTGGCTATGGGAGTCATCATTGTGTAGACCAAGTAGATTGAAAGGGGAGCAATGCGAGATGCTTGCAGGTATGACTATCTGCTTCAAGTGCTGTTCTGTATACTCGTGGGTTGGGTTGCACCAAGGTGCCTTTCTTCATAGGGTAATCAGTAGAGTGTAGCCCCTCCCTGTTACTCATTTAGCTCTTTCCTGATTGGGAACAAAGCAGCAGGTCAGGGTGATATGAGTCCCATTGCAAGCCTGCAATCTAAGCCATTGTGATACTTTGGACAATCCTCAATAATTCATACTGTTTACAACAAAAACACCCATTCTAAGAGATAGATGGAATCCATGAGATGCAACCACTTTTTTTTCCTTTGAATATAGGGCTTTTGTAGAGAATGAAGCCATGCCTGGCATTTTAAGTTTTCCAAAGTAAAGTGGAAGTCAAGAAAAAATTGGCTGACTTTTTAAAGCCATGAAAGTTACTATGTGGATATACAGCTAGGAGTTTTATCCTAGTTGTATCTTTGGCTCAAGAAGTGGGAACCTGGAAATGGCAAAAACTGTGGTCTCAAAATTATAAAATGACAATGTCAACAGCATATAAAGAAAATTTGTATAAGATGTTTTACAGGTGGCATTTTACCCCCGACAAGAATAGCAAGAATGTTCAAGAATAAATCTGAAAAATGTTGGAAATGTCATCAGACACCTGGCTCATATTACCATATGTGGTGGACATGTGCGGATGCTAAAAAATATTGGACTAAAATCCACACGTGGTTGGAAAAAATGACAAAAAAGCATATACATTTGAAACCAGAGATATTTTTATTGGGAATTTTACCTGAAATATATAGTAAAGACTTGAAATACCTGATTGTAAATGCATTAACAGCGGCTAGGATTGTATTTGCTAAAAACTGGTAAAATGAGAAAACACCATCACAGGAGGAAATCATTAAGAAAATATTGGAATGTGCTGAAATGAATAGATTGACATTTGAAATTAGAGAACAAGATGATAAACAATTTTATAAAATTTGGGATCTATTCTATCAATGGTTAGACAATAAAATATAGTAATAAAATATGTAGATTCTTAGAAAATAATAAATATATAAAGATGTATTCTTTTCTTATTATATCTACAAAATGATTTTAGGATAGATTTGGGGTGATAATATGAACTGCTATAAAAAATATGATTATTTCATAAAACATGAATGAATAAAAGTATAGTCAAATGATTGATTAATAATGATATTAATGTATTTAATATTTGATTGAAAGTACAAGAGTATATACAATGTAATTGTAATTGAAGACTACGAAATGGAAGCACAAAACAATTTGTAAACCAACCGGCACACCGTATGTATATATATGGAAGATGGCTTGATGTTTTTATGTTTTGTTTGTTCATGTTTGTTTTAAAAACCAATTAAAAAAAAAAAGAAGAAGTGGGAACCTGGAGTTCAACATTCTTAGAAGATACTACTTGAGGCCATAAACCAAAAAACCAAAGCATGGTTGATGCAGAGGCATTGCTTTTGAGGGTGCTGATTAGACTTGGGTTGATAGAAATCCAGAATGCTGGACATTTAGGGGTAGCCAAAGAAAGCAGATTCTGGAGCAAGACTATTTTCTAGTGAGAACATCTCTTTTTACGAATGTATATGGGCACCATTCTTGAGGTTGTTCTGGGGAGCCATTCCATTGGAAACTGCTGAAAAATATCTGTGAAATGTTTCATAATAGTCACATTTTTCTTGGCCTTCCAGCACAAGTGGGAATAAAGATCTTGCACGTCCCATATGGCTGAAATTATTTAAGAGGAAAAATAAAACAGCTTCTCTATGACAAAAATATGCCCTTGATATGGACAACCAATCAATCTCCTGCAGGGCCATCCAGCCACTTGACAGTTTATTTTGATAGGTGTCAACAATTACTAGCCATATACAGTAGATACAGAAAGATATATGTTCATTTTGCATTCTATAACAAAAGTGTTTAGTGCAAAAGATTAAAATATTTGTTTACCTTCTTATGAAAAACAAGATTTCTACTGTACATATATTCCATGCGCCGTTCTTATTTATATATTTTGAATCGACTGAAAATGGATGGTGAGCTTCCTTGAATTGAGGGCAAGTCGCTCTGTTCTGAGAATTGCAACACATCTGAAAAGAAAAATGACACATCCTCTTTTCTAGCCAGATAATGGGAGCCCTTCTGCTTCTCCTGGCACAAGAACATGCACTGAATTATTAACTATTGGATTAGATTCTCGGAGAGCTCAGGCAGGGAGAGGGAAGACATGTAACCAGAGCCCAGTAATCAGATACGATTTTCTAAAGAGGGAGGAAAGCAAACTCATATTAATGCAAGTTCCATCAGTGCGAAGGGAAAGCATTCTGAGCATACAAGGACAAAGGGCCATTTTGTCCAAACACCAAGCAGTTATGTCCACAACAGTCACTGAGTTCACATATTGTGCTAAGTGTTTGCTTCAGTAATAGTTCATTCAACAAACCATAATGGGTCGTTGCCAAACTATAAGCCATAAACCAGATTTTAAAATTCCTGCTGGAATATCTTAATAATTCACAGCAGCCTTCCTTTCTCCTAAGGTTAGGCTCCCCTTTTTCTTGTATATACCATTATCTAATTTCTGTGAATCAATCTGAATCATATTTTAACTAAGAGAAGGCTAAGTCATCCAAAGCAGTGACAAATCTTACTGCATAGACTGTATATAGTCGTATTTACAGAATGTGAAGTACAAACAAGATCCAAGGGTAGATGTCATTGATTTTAATTATTCAAACTTTTAGTGGGCTTAGTTTAAATGGGAAGAATATATTTAAATGGGAAAATATATTTATTTTTACAATGTATTACCGTGTTTCTCATATAATAAGGCCGGGTCTTATTTTTTTTTGAGCCCCGAAAAAATGGCTAGGCTGTCTTTTCGGGGGTGACTTAATTCCACCCCCCTTGCATCTTTGGGCGGGCGGGCGGTGACGGCTTGGATGTTGACCTTGGCGTTGGTGAGGCACTTAGTATCGGGGTCAACGCAGGCAGCACCATATCCGGGTGTGCAACAAAAGTACTAACAGCAAGCCCCCCCACCATTCCCCCCCCATTTCGCATGTTTTAATATAGGCCTTAATTTGGGGGGAGGGGCTTCATTTCATTTCATGCCTATAAAACATGCTGGGGCTTCCTATTGGGGGAGAAACAGGGTATTTTTAAACAACTGTGTTGAAAACAGCTGTTTTAATCAAAAAACACTTTCAATCATTCATGCTCACACATTAGCATTAGCCTAATCCCTTCTAAACAAGGATCATTGTATTGTTTGGTTGCACTGATGCTTAAACCTGGCTTCCTCACTTCATGTGGAGTTTTGTATGTCAAAGAACCTAATTGTGGTATGAATTAAAAAAAAAGATACTATGCATCATTATTCTAAATACTGAGGAAGGTTTGCAGTTTGATCTCCCTGTACTTCAAGTCAGAACTCCCTGAGCTGAATTCCACTCCTGGTGGCCTCCAGAAGATGGTTTTATTTTCAGGCAACAAAAATGGGAAATTACTAGACGACAAGAGTAATGATACTTTTAGTTAAATATATTTGTAAGTGAAGTAGGCTTTGTTCAGCTCTCCCCATTACATGGGAACTGAAAGATGAACCAGAAAGTATTACAGAACCCTGCTCCAAATGAAGTTCTCATAAGCATGTACTGGATTAATTTGCTGGTAAGGAAATACGAGAGCCACCAACCACTTTAAGGATCTTTATTTGTAAATGTTTTGTTAATTTGTTGTTTAAAGTAATGAATTACAATGACAGGTTATACAAGGAAACCCAGTCAGAGTGCCAAGTTCACAAAGTACAGACACAGCAGAGGATTCAGAAAGTTGTACATTTGATTGGATCCCACAACAAATTATGTGCAACTCTTTCTGCTACAGAGAGAGAAGTTGCTATGGCCCATGACTTGCAGGACAGAAGGAGCCTCAAATATTGGATAGCATTACCTTTTTCAGAAGCCAGCCCATTTCCACTCCCGGGTACTGGCTGAAATCCACTTTTATGACCACAAGAGAGCATCATTCTAATTAGCCTCCACCCCACTCCAAAATTCATATCAAGTGGGAGATGTTTGCTTTCAATAAGTTGTCAGCCATTCAGATTGCAGTTTTCCAAACCAAGGATTGGCAACCAGGCTGGCTCTTGTAGATTTAGATCATGAGAACTCACGTACTTCCATCAATGGGCAAAAAGTTTCATGTGCTCCTTCTCTTGTCTCATTTTCTGAACATATGGAATTTAATGTGGGGTCAATATTGTGCATCAGTAGCAGCACCGGCAGCTATGCTCTCAGTTCCTAAATAGAGCAAGCACATCAACATGATGCTAAATTGCAACAGGCAGAAGAGGCTAGTGGGGCCATTCCATGGATCTCCCCAAGGACCAATGCTTTTACTTCCATGTGGGCTTGAAGAACTTGGGTCTTCTTCAAAGCTTTGGCAATTTGAAGTGCTGCCTGATCCCTTCAGCAACATACCTCTCCTTCATAATTTTAGGCAGGCCTTCTTGAAAGTAATGCATTGCAAGTTTTAAAGAATCAGGAACTGCTTCACATATTTTAGTAACCAGCTAGGTAGACGCTATCTGGTTTTTGCTTTGCTTTATTCCTATCTCAAACTGTACTGGGCATGTCATCCCACATAACCTTTCCATGGCAGAGGTTTAGAAGCAGCCTTTAAAAGCTGCCAATTGTACCAATTGTTTATCCCCAAGGATGATAAACCTGTTCGCCATCAAGGCAGGAAAGAACTGGGCAGGGGAAAGATAGTTATCAGGCATTGGGCAGTGAGCACATACGAACTGGCCTCCAGCCTTCATTTAACTTTTCAAACTCATTATACAGACAAAAGCAACTAAGAGCAAATAATGCTCCAAAGAAGGCTTTGAAAAAGATACATTAAAATAAAATTTAAAAAAAAAACCCAATGCTTTTTCTTCAGTCTGTCCCATTTTCTTCGGTCTTTTCCTCTTTCCTCTCCCATGACAGACTTCTAGGTTCTCAGACCTTATTCACTATAACTCAGCCTTTACAACATACTCTGGGTCCTAGTAAAGCTACAATAAATTAATAGCTATGTGTATGTCTGTGTCTATAATTTCTCAAGTATCAAACTAGTTCTGGCAAGGAGTAGTTCCCCTGTGAAACCAGCAACTATAAAATTTGTAGTCCCCCTCCGCAATCTGTAGCACAAGAATCCTTCTGCCAGTAACAGGCACAGTTGGGTAGAATATCAGTGTTTCCACTTATTGTAATGTCTTGACACCAGTTCAAATCCATCCAACCCAAGGAAAGAGGTCAAGCGAGCTATTTCAAAATAAGAGCTTTTCAGAGCTTCAAAACCTTCTACCTTTCAGAGGACATTGAAGAGGGGAATTTATGACCTTCCAGGAACCAAACTGTCCCAGGTGGCATAAACAGGGATGCTTAAAACTCAATAACCTCTAGATTCTAGAAGAATGTGGGTTCCTTGTTCTTGACTTATGTCATGTCAGCCAGCACTTATTTCCACTCTATGGCATTTTCCCCAATCCTGTCTTATTGATACTGCTTCCCCCTTTCCTTGCTTAAGCAAAACAGTCAATTCCAATATAGAGAAGAAGGAAAAGAGCGAAGGAATATAGATCCATTTGTCATCCAGATTTTGTTAGAAAGAGACAGTTTATCTAGCAGCAAAAGCCACACAAACCATTTGGAATGGACTGACTGGCTTTGGCTAAAGTCATATGCTAAAGGCCAAATAAAGGACCCCCAAACTGTAATTCCACATCACCCAAAGCCTCCAGTAAACACCTGCTCTTTGTGGAATATCAGCTATGGTCCATTTCTAATACATATATAAGAGAGTTATCTTAGCAGCTCCATGGTTTTGGCACACAAGGAACCGCTACCCTGGAACAGGCGGCATATAAGAGTACCAGGCATGCCACTGAATGTGTCAGGCTTCCCCCCCCACCAAGCAAGTAAATGCCAAGACAAGAGGGCAATGCTGGTGCAACATGCAGAGAGGCTGGTTTTAGTCTGTTGTAACTTAGCATGTTAGTGGCACATGGCAAAAGTCTCCCTGTCCTCCGAGTGTCCTGGACTAAATTTCAGAAGCTTGCAGAGAAAATTCTAAAGAGAGGATACAGATGGATTTAGAGCAAGCTTCTTACAAGTTAGACCTTGAAAGCAAGAAATGATAAAAAAAGGTCTGATGCACAGATGACAGAATCTGTTCCTTGATCAGAGCTCCGGCCGATCGTTGGGGGAATCATTCAAAGGAGGCAATCAAAGGCAGGTCTGGACACATGCCACAGAGAGCAGAATTTCTGCTTCCTCTGGTCCAGAGAGATTAATATAAGTAGATACCTGATTGGCTGAGGTCCTCCAAAAATACGCAGAACGGGAAGCTTCCTGTGACTTTCGGAGTTAATCACAGGAAAGGGTCTTCCTGATTGCCCTTTGACAGCGGGCTCTAATGTAGTCTAGAATGGAAATCTAGCCTGGGAAGAGGCAAACCTTATTAACAGCTCGAGGTGCAAATTTACCCATGTGGCCCCTTTTCTTTAGGGACAGATTCTTCTTATTCCCAGAGCTGCCGCTTAGCAGCACAAGAGGTCTTTTGTTTGTTTTGTGCTGAGATGAATTTCAGGGAACCCAGTTATGAGAAATAAGAAAGATACACCCAAAGCAGCTGGAAAGCCCCGAGCCCGAGTGCAATGCTACATAAGCATTTGGACGAACCCAGTAATGAGGTGGCAAAGCACATGGGGGGGGGAAGCCACCTACAGGCCTGCTATAGAGGATCTGGCTGGAGGACAGTGAATGGGACAGGGGGACCCCTTCTCCCATTCTTAGGGAGCAGGCTTAGCCCCAAGCCGGTTACCCACCGATATAGGCAAGACTTCAGAGAATCTGGAGTCTGATGAATTATTGAACAAGCCTCAGCCATGACTGCTAACCACAGCTCCCCCGTGAAGACAGCAGGATCATGTTCTGCATAGTGTGAGCCATCTGAAGGTATTTGGATCCAGGGAGTTTGGGGGCAACGGAAACCACCAATCAAGGAGAAACACCAGGAAATGCAAAGAGGATCCCACAGGGCAGATGGCGGGCAAACTGGCAACCAAAGACAAGAGGGACGGAGTACAGCGAGTCAGCCCTCTCTAAGCGGCAACTTTTCTACCTGCACTGAGGACGTGAGGGAAAAGGACGCTGGGAGGCTTTCAACACCAGCAGGTTTTGGGAGAATGGTCTGAGCCCTGCGGCTTGCTTGCTTCTTCTTCCAGTTCAACCACATTCAGTTCATCAGCTGCGCAAGTGCGGAGTCCTTCCAGATCCTTCTTGTGAGCCTGCAGGACCAGCTCTGTCAGACGGGTGAAAGACTGAAAAAGAAGAACAACCAAGACTTGTTTTTTGTTTTAAATGTTTATTTATTGTTTGATTTTTATCCTGCCTTTATTACTTTATAGGTAACTCAATACAGTGAACATACCTAATATTCCTTTCTCCTCCTGTTTTTTTTCACATTAATCCTGTGAATTGGGTTGGGTTGAGAGAGTGACTGGCCCAAAGTCACCCAGCTGACCGATGGTAGAACTGGAATTCACGGTCTCCTGGTTTCTAGACCAAACTGGCTCACATAATTTTGGTTATAATGGTAAAAGTTTCCCCTGTCCAGTCATGTCCAACTCTAGGGGGCAATGCTCATCTGTTTCTTGGCCGAGGGAGCCAGCGTTGTCCACAGACATTTCCGTGGTCATGTATCAAGCATGACTATATGCCAAGGTGCACGGAAAATTGTTACCTTCCCATCAAAGTGGTACCTACCGGTATTAATTAATTTGTATCTGCATGCTTTCAAACTACTGGGGGGCAGGAGCTGGGGCAGGTAACAGGGGCTCACCCTGTCACGCACAGATCTCAAACGTGGGCTGTCAGCTTTCCAGCTGATAAGTTCAGCATCTTTAATCACTGAGTCATCATCACTCCCAATCATGGTTTTAATTATGATCCTTGCAATATGAGTGACTGTGGATGTTTAGAAATAAATGAATGTGCTACTTAAGCTAAGTAACACTAAGTCACCTATTTGAGCACCCACTTTACACAATTCACACATACTTAAGAGTATGTTTTTCATACTGTATATGTTAATATACTGTAATACATTATATATGTATTTTGTATTTTCTTTTTCAATAGGAAAGTAAGAAAGGAAAGAAAGACAGACAGAAAGAGTGAGTTATAAATGGAAGACAAAGTTCTCTTGGTTTCCATTAAATTTAATGACCTGGAAACCCTTATCTTAGATTGAAGGGTAAAGATGTCAACTGACCTGGAAGCCTCTCACCTGAGTTATTCCATCCTCAAAATTCTTACCTCTTTGATGTTCAAGTTGGTACAGGCACTTGTTTCATAGAAATCCATGCCGTATTCCTTAGCTAGCTGAAAGACAATTGACATATAAACCAAATGAGGGCTAGTATATTTTTTCTACTACTATCTTCAAATCCACCTTTCCACCTCTATTTCACCTCCAAATCTAAAAAAGCTACTTATAGAAGGCAAGAGCAATATTGTCTAACAGCTTGTACTGTATGTTATTTATGTATGGTTAGGACACTGGTTGACCAAGATCTCAGATACTGACCTCAATTCATTTTTAATAAAACAATGATCCACCCAATTTAGAATAAAATATATAGGAGATCTATATAGAAAAGATAGCAGGTTCCCTATTTCATTTCTACAGACTTGTGTATCATGCTGTTAAATTGATTTTCATTGCTTTTATTCAATAGTTCTCACCCACACAAAATATACACACCCATGTATGTATGATAACAGCTTCACCTAGAAGCTGTGAGAAACATATTCCTTACATGCTAATTTTCCATGAGGAGGGAAGTTCTTTTGTATAGAACAGGGGTCCCCAACCACCGGGCCCCGGACCGGTACCGGTCCGTGGATCATTTTCTACTGGGCCACCGGTTTGCTGGGCACCGCCATCTTGTTTCGACGAGAAAGTGCTTCCGGGTGAGCTTTTCCGATTGGAAAGCGGCGTTTGGGTCCGGAAGGAATCCTCGCGCCTTAGTTTCATCGAAGGAGGGGGGGCGGCTTCGAACGAAGAGCCGTCCCGATGGCGGAGGAGATTAAGAAAGCACAAAAAAGGTACAAAGGAGGAGTTGAAGGTGACGGGGAGAAGCGGGGGACGGCTGGCTGGCGGGTCGCTCGGCTCGCCTTGCCTTGTCATGCGTGCTGATGCAGGTACCGGGCCATGGATCATTTTGTGATGCCGGTACCGGGCCGTGGCACAAAAAAGGTTGGGGGCCACTGGTATAGAATGTCGTTTAGTGCTATGAGCTGCTTGGACTGATGCAGTTCAGCTGAGAGGCTAGTCCATCACCCCAATAAATACCTGGTTTCTATAACTGGACCCGCCTATGATTTTTACCTGGAGGCCTTGCTCTCGGCCCACTTGCCTCTTCTGCTCCTCATCTGCTTTATTCCCAATGAGGATCTTCTGGACACCATCTGGAGCATACTGCAAAGGATATGAGAGTCTTTACTTCTTCCCTATCTGCATAGCTAAGTAAGAACTGAGCTGAAAAGTATTGCTCATTTTTATCCATTCTTGTACTTTGCATATCGAGGAGAAAAATCACTTTTATTTCTTGGGATTAAAAGAGCACCATCTGGTAATATTCTTCATCTCATAAAGCACCTCAACTTGTCTTGGAAGCAATGGGCGTCAATGACCCAGAGTATAACAGACTCCAGAAAGTTAACCAAATAGCAATAGCAAAAGCTCTTAGACTTATATACTGCTTTATAGTGCTTTATAGCCCTCTCTGAGTGGTTTACAGAATCAGCCTGTTCCCCCAACAAGCTGGGTCCTCATTTTACCCACCTCGAAATGATAAAAGGCTGAGTCAACCTGGAACCTGGTGGGATTCGAACTGCCAAATTGCAGGCAGCTGGCTGCAGCAGAAGTAGCCTGCACTACTGCACTCTAGCCACTGTGCCACCAAGGCTTGATGAGTTCCCACATTTAATTCCCTGCATCGTGTGACAAAGCGTTTCCTTCATCCCAAACTGATTACATTTTCCTTTAAGTTTACTCAGAAGGCGGCAAATTATTTCAGAGAAGGGGAAGCAGAACATAAAAGGTCTCCCACGTTGTCATCTATACTACACTGATTTGGTACACAGGGTGAGAATTATGTGGCCAATCCTGAGGCAAAATGGAAAATTTATTACCAACTATGCTTGAACACCTCTGAGAAAGATTTCTTCAAGGAAAAGTCAAAGAACATCCTTCTGTGCAGAAACAGTCATATATTCCTCGATTTACAACTGGTCACTTAGCAACCACTTGAGGTTACAACGGATCTCTCTAGGAGTACTTATGACCTGAATTCAAAGTTCTGATGACCCCCCCCCAAAAGGTCATGCGACCGCTCTTCAGTTGCTCAACACCCAGGCTGCATTTACAGTTATTTGCAGTGTCTCACAGTCATGTGATCATGTTTTACGATGGCTTTGCCAAAACACAGCATTTACTTATAGTTTTTGGTAAAGCGGCTCCACAGTAAGCCACTGGTTTGCACTTTTTACTTTATGACTGTGGCATCTGTTTTACAACTGCAATGTTTGCTTAGTGACAGCTGCAGAAAAATTCATAAAATCGGATCAGTCACTTGGGTGATCCGATTAATGATCATCATGAGTTAGGACCATGGTGGCAAGGATTCCTTGCAGTTGTAACTTGAGGATTACCCGCATAGCCATTTGGCCACAACTTCCCCCAGCAAACCTCCCCCGGTAAACAGCAAAGAAATTTTTATGCTTACTTCGTCCACATCGCTGGCCCACTTCATTATGTGCTGATATGAGCGCTCACTGCTAATATCGTAAACCAAAAATATCCCCTACAAAGAGAACCAGGTAAGGGAGCAAAAGAAATGTGAGCATCACACAAAGTGAAAAGGAAAAGGGGCCTTTACTCAGAGGAAAATAAATGTACTATTAAGCCACACCCTAATATTTATCTCAGAAAAGGAGCGCAGGAAAGCATTTGGGGAATGATACATTAATATAGATGGTAATTGAGCCGGTTTGAGGCAGCGGATTAGGAACCAGGAGACTGTGAGTTCTAGTCCCGTTTTAGGCATGAAATGAGATGGGTGACTTAGAGCAATCACTGTCAATCCTAGGAACAAAGCAAGAACAAACCATTTCTGAAAATCTTGCCAAGAAACCTGTCGCGACTAGCCCAGGTAGTTAACAACGACTCAAAGATGTGTGTGCATACATACACACAGAAACACGTGCACTTAATATTGCCTGCTGTCCTTTCAAAAGATTAAAATGGAATTGCGGGAAAATACTTAACTAGGGACTGGACAGGATACATAATGAATTTTGCAAGCCCATCTCCCCAGGGTCTCTCAGCCTTTCTCCTAACATTCTAAAAGTATACATGTTATTAGCTTGCTGTGAGGAAAAATACAAACTAGTCAGGGTCGCTACAGAAATCCCCAGAGCCTGTTGTGAGACTAGTCTGACGCTCCAGCGACATCACTCTGGAAGGGCAGGTAAAAAGCCCCGGAAAATTGTAAGGCAGGCAAAGGGGAGTTTCCAGCAAATATGATTATTGCCATAAGGAAATGCAGTAATCCCCAGTCCATCCAATCAGGTCATCCTCAATGCAATTTAAGAAAATTAAAATAAATACATTTGTGTTAGGAAATATAATAAACATACAGCAATTTACAGTGTACAGATTACAATGTGATACTGTAGTTTTTTCCACAGACTACCATATTTCATCTCTACTTTTAGCCAAAAATATCATACCTGGGCACGTCTGTAGTATTGTTTAGTGATAGTTTGATACCGTTCCTGGCCTGCAGTATCCCTGGAACAGAAGCAGATGTTATTACGGTGACTGGAAACCCCACTTTTCATGGGTAACACAATTTATGGCATGAAGTCAAAACCAGCATCCTATTGATAGAAAGCTCAACCTCAAAACTTCCCACAGATTTCAGGGGAAAAAAAGCAGAGCAGCTCAACAAAGTTAGGAATAATTTATTCTGTTGTTTTATTGATGGCATTTATATGCTGTCCCAAGCCACTGTGCAAGAAGAATTAAAGAGGAGAAGATTTATAACAGCAATAAAAGCATTGAAATATTTAAGCATTTAAGCTTAAATATTAAAATATTTTAAGCATTCAAATATTTAAGCATATAAATACCTAGTAGGGACCAAATTATAAAGATGTTGAAATTTCTGAAACTCTGAGATAATGGGGATCGGTTCCCTATCATATCTATCAATGTTGTGGAGGAAGGTTGATTTCAGATATGTCATTGTATGGCATGTTTTAAAACAGCAGGGAACAAAGGGGAGAAAACTGAAAGGAAGCAACAGATAGAAAGCATGTTATCTTGACAAAGCTTTATGAATGCATCCTGTTTATCTCCTTCAAACTGTTCTCAAAAGTAGCACATCTGTTTGTGTGCAGCTTTGTAGAACTTTTTTGTTTTCAGATTCTAAAAGACAAATGTTCCTGAGAAACCAACTGGCTTGGAAAGCAGAGTGAAAGTTATTCATAAGTATACGGATAGGCAACGGGGTTGGCCCAAAGACTGGAGCATCCTGGATGTCAATGTTAGACAAGATTGGTGTACACTTGGAGCCACCAAACAGAGGGAGGGGGAGGAATATGCAGATTGCCAGAGTGGCTTGAAGAAAAAAGGCAGACAAAGAGGAGTTAGTTTGACCATTCTTCTTTAAGTCTGCTTGAAACGCTGGTGATCTATTTCTAAGTTTTAATGTTAAAATATTAATTGCCAGAATTTTATTCATTTATTTAAATTTATATAGCCACTCATCTCAAATATACGACAGCAATTTATAAAGAATATAAAAAACAAAACCAATACAAAAAGGTGTAAAACCATATGATGATTTAATGGTGGCACAAGGACAATGGAGAGGAACTGAAATGAAAGCATAAATAAGCAAATAAAAAACAAAACCAGCCAATGCCAAACTTCGGCATACGTGTCAAATACATTTGGTGCTTATTTCAGAATAGGATGACACTTCTATGCATGCTTTTTAGGGAATAAGGGGTTTAATTTTCTGGATAAACATGCTTTCTAATTGCACTGTAAGAATAGGCTCTTTTAAATACCCCTCCTATTTAACATGTATTGTCCATCCATGGGGAAAAAAGGCTAATGGATAGGTGCAGCACAAAGGACTGAGGGTCACATGATGAAAATGACATTCATTAGCCATTCTAATTTTGCCAACAGGATCTCATGGATAAATGTATACTTATCGACATCATATCATTAAAATGTTTAACATATCTATGGTAAGGTAAACTATGGAGGTCCTTGCTTACATTACACATACAGTATTGTACACAAAAAGGAAAAGAGATGGGGACAGGGGAGGAAAATAAACTAGTAGACTAGTGAGCCTTAAGTGACATTGGTTAAACAGATGACCAATGTGAACCATTAGACTGCTTGTTTTCCCACCTGTTTCTCTGAATTGTGTGAAGTTGGAAATCAAGCTCGATTTCCAACTGGCTTTGTTCTTCATCCAAGGCCAAGCTCCTTTAATTGCACTGCAGAATGAAGACAGTAAAGGGCAGTGGAAGAGTCCAAGCAGCTGCTGTGTACTGATTATCTTTCTGCTTTTATAGCCTTTCTTATATCTGATCTGGATTCCAGCCCAAAATTGGCCACAACTAATATTTTTACAAGGTGTGACTTCCCAGTCAATCCATCTGAGAACATACTGTACACAGGGGTAGGTTTCAAATTTCAGTTTGGGAAGCATGTGTAACTTGGCTGCCCCCTGCTGGATAGGTTTAAGTGTATTCCTCTTAAAAACAATCTGAAAATAAATACCCCCTTTCATGCCATAAATGAACAATGAGGCATCCGTTTTTAACAGGGCATTACTCATTGCATCTTCTCTTTAAGCTGTCAACATCTGCAATTTGCACTAGGAAAAAGGCACAGCCAAGTCCCAATGTGCTGCTGTGTGATCAAAGGATTAAAATTCCTCAATCCCATGGTCAGGAGAATGGAAGATAGAAGGGAAGCTGAGGAAAGCCCTCATTCCAGATGAAGGGAGAGAACTGGGCAGGGAAGAAATGGGGTAAGATCTGCCTGTCTCATCAGCTTTGCCTCTGGCCCAACCCAGCACAAGCTTTCAATCCCGGTATTGTGCTATCCTCTGCCAAAGAATTGATTGTCCCAACCCTACACAAGTGAACTGCTGAGCTCACACCATAAACACACAGTAAAAGCATAATGATATTTATTTTATTTATTTATTCATTTATTTATTTTGTCAAGCGATTATAAGATAACAGGTATAAGTATGTACATAGTTATGAATACATGAAATGGATACATATAAGAAAAAAAAAACCAGTAGGACAGGGACGGTGGGCACATTGGTGCGCTTATGCACGCCCCCTCCAGAACTCTTAGGAAAGGAGTGAGGTCAATAGTAGACAGTCTAAGGTTAAAGTTTTTGGGGTTGGGGAAGAAATCACAGAGTCAGGTAGAGTGTTCCAGACATTGACCACTCTGTTGCTGAAGTCGTATTTCCTGCAATCAAGTTTGGTGCGATTAACCTTGAGTTTGTATCTATTGTTTGCTCTTGTGTTGTTATGGGTGAAGCTGTGTCATTATTATCAACTGTATCATGAAGCCAAAATGGAAACAATGGGAATGATGTGTTTTAAGTTAGTTGCCTCATGACATGCAGCTCATCAGCTGCACAATGTCACAACATGTGTGGTATCACTTGCTCTGCTGCAGATACCCATGCCTATCTCCAAGCAACGTCTGAGCTTCACTGAATCTCTACTTGAAAATGTTCAGCATAGAATATTAATTCCTGCTACTAATAATTTAAAAAGCTTGTGATTTGCAAAGTGTTTTAATACATGTATGTGTTCTGTCTCACTTGTAGCCACGAGGTGAGAGTCCAAATTTCCAAAGGAAAATACTCAGACAGAAACAGGAACGACAGAGTTAACTTCCTTTGGCTGAATCAGTCTTTGGCAGTTTTCCCAGAAGCTGCCTACCAAGTCCGATAACGAGCAAAACCATAAATCAGAGGCGACTGCCACACAGAATAATTCATCCGAACTGGTAACTCAAATAGACAAGTTGACCCGAACAGGGATTCAGAGCTAACACGCCTCCTTATATCAGGCATGATATTCCGCTCTGAAAAAAAAATCGGGGCCGGCCAAAAGAGACCCCCCGCCCAGGGAGCGCCTGCTGCCTTCCCTCGCCAGGGCCGGGCGGCAGCGTGTTGCACAGAGGCTGGTCTGCGGCTGGCCCAGCTCCCTTTTCCTGCCGCTCAGCGGCCTCCGCTCGCACCGCCTGGGCTCCGCTCAGGTATCCGGCTGGGGCTGTCAGGAGTTGCTACCGCCGGCGCAGCTCCACGCAGCTCCAGTCCCGCGTTGCCTCGGGAAGGGAAAGGCAAAACCAGGAGCTGCTGTGCCGTTGCAAAGCGCCGCCGCGGCTCTTCCTTTTTGCCTTTCCCTTCCTGAGGCAACGCGGGACTGGAGCCGCGCGGAGCCGCGCCAGCAACTCCTGACTCGGGGCCTCCGAGAGGAGGGGAAGGAGGAGAAGAAGGGGTGGGGGGAAAGGAGGGGGCGATTCCCAAAAAAATCGGAATTCCGATTTTAATCGGAAGAATATCATGCCTGTTATATTCCCTGAGGGGCGTGTCAGTCTCTTTTCTCAGTCCCTGATTTGACATTTCCTTTTACGTTGTATGTCACGTTTCTGCCTGCGTCTTTGCCTTGCATCGGACCAGCATTTCTCGGCTTGATCTTCAGCCAATGACTCCGGCACGCTCTCCTGATTATCTGCCGACACCTGAGGCACAATCAGGGAGGAAGATTCTGGGGAGGAAGAGGACTCTGAAACTTCCAGCAAAGCAGGCTCAAATCTTAGAGCCATGTCCTCCTCTTCTTCCTGACTCCCATCTGTGTCACTCAACAAAGCAGGCTCAAACCTTAATGCCAGATCTTCCTCATCACTCGAGCCTATGTCTTCTGACAGAGCAGGTTCAAACCGAGTCACAACATGTATGTATATGTTTACTTTCTAACTACCCTTTAAATTAGATCACATTCCCTGTCAATTTATACTAAAATGTGTAACTTGTCTAAGATTTCTCATTTAATCCATAAGAAAGAAAAACTTAATACCTGTATTACTTACCAGATCTGGATTCGGACCTTAATTCCATCTACTTCTATAGTCTTCATTTTAAAATCAACTCCTATGAACAATAAAATAAAATCACATGAAGTCCAAACAGTAATCCTAGCAATTATCCAATATATTTTGCTGTGTGAAATTAAATTATGCTTAGAATGCTAAAGCAGAAACATAAGTCTGTGAGTTTGTCAAGCCCTACAAGTCTGGCAAACTCAGGATCAAAAACTACCTGGATTTCGAAAAAGATCTTCATTGCCGGTAGGGTAAAATAACAAAAGCTTGAATGCTTGTTGAAGCAATTCCCCAAATCAATTTTTACTTAGTGTAATCAAGACAGAGTTATTCTCTGTCAGCCCAAAGCCCAAAAGCCAACACAGTGAAATCCAATGGAGTCCGATTCTTTATTTGCTTACACCTAAAACAGATAGTCCTCAATTTACAACCATTCATTTAGTGATTGCTCAAAGTTATAATGGCGCTGAAAAAAGGTGAGTTATGACCGTTTTTCACATTTACGACTTGCAGCATCCCCATGGTCATGTGATCAGAAATCAGACACTTAACTTGCATGTATTTATGACGGTTGCAATGTCCTGGGCTCGTGTGATCACTTTTTGTGACCTTCTGACAAGCAAAGTCAATGGGGAAGCCATATTCACTTAACAACTGTTACTAACTTAACAACTGTAGTGTTTCACTTATCAACCGTGGCAAGAAAGGTTGTAACGTGGTGCAAAACTCACTTAACAACTGTCTGGTTTAGCAATGTGGTGCTGCCAGTGACCATGGTGGGACAAAGAGCCAGCAAATGAATTGGCTTTTCAGAATTCCTCTCTGGAACAAGGAGAGGCTTTGGGACCATCCACAAGTGCTCATGCAGTAATTCCCCACAAGGAGACTGTAAGATAGCAGTCTTCCCACTGACTCTGGGAGCTAAGGGATCACCATCTTTGCTCCAACTGCAGTTGGCACTTTTAAACAGATACTGGATTTACAAGCTCCCTTTTTAAATCACTTCTGGAAATTGCTTGTTAGGGGTTTTTCTTAACTTCAGAATGGCAAGTTTCACTATATCATATGAGCTTCCTTCAATCCTTGGCAACAGATTTTTTTGGGGGGTGGATTTTAAAATGACAGATGACAAGAGTGATATACAAAAAGCTATTACACTGCATTTATACATGAAACTGACTGATGTCTTAATAATTAAAAGGAATATACAAATAACAAATCAAGAGTGACTTGGATAACCCTCCATATTTCCTGCTCTGTAAGGCATTCCAATACAATTGCTATTTTCCTCTATATTTGTTTTCTTTTCACAAACCCCCATTGCTTGAGCAATTGACTTACTTATATACAAAACTAACTCCATGCTGTATTTACACTCAGACATACAGTTTAAGTCAACATTAAGATGACGCAATCTAGCCTTTTCCTTTTAAAATTCTTCCTAGTTACAATACGCAGGCCAATCTATTCTTGGTCTTCTTAGTACTTGAAATATCTGTGAGCATTCCATAACACCTCAGCAGCAGAGCCAATAATTCATTTCAGTCAATTAAAGATGAAATTCTCATAAGTAATATTTGATGTTAAAATATTGAACCCTATGCTATGTTTCAAGGGCTTATTTGGCATTGATCCTATCAAACTCAGTCAAAGAAGCAACAGAAAGGCATGAAAATGTTAAGTGACTTAACATTCTCCTAAGGGGCTACTCACAAATACAAACAAGTAATATGAAGAAAATAATAATGGATAGTGCAGAAATTCAGTCGGTGTTTCCTGTCTGTCTCTAAATTGTTAAGCATATAAACCAGGATATAAATCTCCCCTATTGAATTTTTACCTGGCAGGCAGCTTTTAAAGTCACCCAGGAAAAGATAAATTCTCAATAAACCTTTATGGATTGCTCAAAACTGCCCTACAGGTTGAGAAAGGACATCTGGGTTGCTATTTCAGGTATGTTGCCAAACTCTCCTTGAGGCTTGCATCTTCTTTTGCTTGTAGTACAAAATGTAGAAGTGTAGGGATCCTGAAAGAAAGGAACTTCCGTTTCTAACCCTTTAAGCAGCCTTCATGCTAGCTGTAGCATAAGAAGCTGTATAGAAGTTAAAATCCAGAAACAGGGCCATAATTCAGCAAGGCTTTAGCATTCTAAGTAGAGAAGGAGTGCTTTGCCAGGTTTAATCATGAAATGTCCAATTAAAATGGTAAAATCTCTAGAAGCCTTTATAGCATTACGTTAGAAGGACTGATGGTGTCAGTCCTTCCTGGTAACTATTGTTTATTTATTTAGCCATCTATCTCATCCAGTGACTCCGGATTCTAAAACTATAAAAGAATTAAAACAATTAAAAGGAACAAATCAATAAAAACATCCAAAGAATCTACCTACCATTTTAACGTGTGATAACCAGACACTGATTGGAAAGAATCAATACAATTCAATTTACTGTAAGATGACTAGTTTGGTTGATTAGGCTAAATAACGGCAACATTGGAAGAGTTGCTGTGGTGCTCAAAAATCCCAATAGCTATATTCTTCAGAAAAATTTTCTGATTGAAGATTAAATATATTGCCTTAGGAGATCATACAGGTCTTTGATGGTGACTCACAAATTGCATTAGATTCACTAGGAACAAACTGTTTTGCACTTCAAAACTCTTTTTTTTTTTTGCAAACTTCCCATAGTTGCCCAAATGATATTTTCATTATCAGGACACAAGTGAGGATTCTGATCTTATATCACTGAGTGGGAAGAACAAGACCATTTTGTAAATGGCTCATTGTAGAAAAAATTGTATCTGAGAGAATGGCAAGTTCTTATTGCAAAAGTATCCATACTTATAGCTACCTGGCCAAAATTATCTGTGATCAGTTTTACATTCTAACCAGTCCTTGGGAACAGAACAGGCTTTTCAAGACAGGCAACATTTGTAATATTACCCCTTGTGATTCTGCTAATCTTCCATCTCAGCAATTCAGGAAATTGGAAAAGTCGGGCCTGAAAGTCTAGCCAGGCAATAATCTTATCTGCTTCTTCAGTTGAAAAAAATGCAGTACTATATACATTTTTTCCCAATAGAGATATCCATCCCCAAGCTGGAGCCCTGCAAATGGACTGAGCTTCAACTCTTGTAATGCCGATCCAATTATATTGGACTATTCTAGCTCCATTATAGTAGGGGTCCCCAACCTGTTCGGAGCCGGGCCACAGAAGTGGCAGGTGAACACATGCATGCATGCAGCTCCATTTGCACAAGCAACAGGGATGTTTGCCTCCTGGTCATGCAAATGGAGCAGTGCCCAGGCACATATGGACACCCACTGCTTGTGCGGAACCATCCCTCTCTCCTGCCCCCCTGCCCGGCCAGTCCGCAAAGCCGGAAAGGTTGGGGACCATTGCATTATGGGAGCTATGGAGCACATTATCGCCTGACTTAGAGGTCATCAGCATTAGGATGCTACTACATGGAGATCTCAATGTAAGAAAAAAATGTGGATAGCATTATGAACAATCTGGCAAGAGTTCATTTTGCTGCAAGCCTACAAAAGCAGTATCAAAGTACATTTTTTCCATCCTGATTAAACAGCTTTTAAAAAAAGAAAGAATAATGAATGAGTCAAGACTCCACACATATCAGAATGTCTCATGGCAGTTTAAAGACAATTATTATGGTATCATTTTTTTTTTTGCAGACTGTTGAGGTATTCCCCGTTAGGAGAATGAGTGCTCTCAGGGAAGCATAGTGAGAGTGATGTTGAATAACACACAACCAGCATACAGATACACTGAATAGTAAAATGTAGGTTTTACTTCCAGTAAATGGTTAATCAAAGTCCAACAAACAGTCCAAGTCATACACAGTTAAAGCAGTCAGTTTTCAGTCCAGGGATAATCCAAATAACAAAGTCCAGTATCATAAACAGTTCAGTAAACAGACTCACAGCAATCCAAGAAGAACGACGATCAGCAACAGTCAATAGGGAAAAATGCAAACCAACCATCCTTGAACATCAGAACATCTAGCAACATGGGAATCATGGGAACATCATAGCAACAGGGAAACTGGGTTTCTGGCTCCATCTTATGGCCGTTTGAGGAACCACACCCAATTGCAATTACATCATTCCCTTAAAGAGACAATATTAAATGTCTATCCTGGTTTATATATTTCCAACCCAACTATTAGGTGACTATCAATTCCTAACATTGACTACAGTCTATCATGAAAGGAAGTGGCACATTTATTACTGCTATTGCTATAAAAATTTGCAACAGCAGCTTAGAAAAACCCTTGGTGAATTTAGAATGACATCTGCCATGGCAAAGAAGTTTCTACAAAATATGATTATTTCTATGCAACACTAGGGGAAAATATCTTATAGGATAAGTAAGTAAGAAATAAAGAAAGATAAGGTAAGCCATAATTGTTTCCAAGCAAGAGGCAAGAACAGGTAACTAAGCCTCTGTCATATTTGCAAAGTTTTCTGATTTATGATTGGCCAAATAAAGCTGCCTTTTCAATATAAGATTGGTACTTAATTCATATCAATTTTGTTCTCTGCAGATGCAGGTTGTGATATACCCTCATGACTAGCATACTTTTTCTCAAGGAAGTCATTAGACCAGGGTCACATATCCCTCATGAATGAGGAAATTTCCAAAAATGTTTACAATGCAAATCCAATTCTATCAAATGTAGTTTTTGTTCTAGTCTACCAGCTAAGTTTTAGTAACCTATCTCAAATGTAAGGCAAAATGTGGTCTTTGATTATGAAAACTTTCTGTAGTTCATTAGTAGACTTTTAGTGACTTTATTCTCTAAACTCTTATGTCTTTCAGTGCAATTCTTCTACCGCTGCACCATAGAGAGCATTTTAACATACTGCACCTCTGTATGGTTTGCCAATTGTACAGTGGCAGATAGGAAAGCACTCCAAAGGGTTAATGTCATTGCCCAGAAGATCATTGGTTGGCCTCTCCCCTCTTTGGAAGAGCTTTATAGCTCCCGCTGCCTTAAGAAAATTCAAAACATTCTCAAAGATCCATC